GCAATTGCAAAACATCATTTTCATTTCAACATCTCAAATACTCACCTCCGAAGACTTCTGCCATAGCTTTCTCAAACATTTTAGGACACTATAACAGTACTTACTCCGATCCCAACATACGAGGCCTCGCTTTGCGGCTGCGATGGCTGTGGTTTTCCGGGACGGATCCCGAGCGAGCATGGCAAGGGCTCGACCTCCAGTTCTCTTCCATGGAGCGTGCCCTGTTCTGGGCATCCACGTCCATGGTCATCGGGAATGGACGGACCGCCCTGCTCTGGGAGGATCGGTGGATCGACGGCCAGTCCGTCCGTGAACTCCTGCCCAACCTCTACGACTGCATCCCCAAGCAACGACGCACGGCGAGAACCGTGGCGGACGGGATGAATGACAACTCCTGGGCACGCGACATTCACGGCAACCTACGCTTGCATGAGATTGGTCAGTACCTGCAGCTCTGGCAGGTCTTGCAGCATACCGTGCTCTCTGCCGCCCCGGACCAGCTGATCTGGAAATGGATGGCGAGTGGCACCTACTCTGCACAATCCTGCTACTTGGCCACATTCCACGGATCGACGACTTGCTGCTCCTGGAAGCTTATCTGGAAGTGTTGGGCGCCGCCGAGAGTTAAATTCTTCCGCTGGCTGGCCAACCAAGACCAGTGCTGGACCACTGAGAGACTGGCTCGACATGGACTGCAACATCACCCACGCTGCCTCCTATGCGATCAAGAGCCGGAAATGATCCGGTACCTGCTGCTGGAATGCCCCTTCGCTCGCCAGGTGTAACACCCCGGATGTAACTTTCCATCTTTGTAACTCCAACTCTTGCCATTTTCGGCTATGAGATATGTTATTCCCTCCGTGGTTGGGTTTTGTCTTTTGTTTTGCTTTTTATTCATGTCATGCATATTATATCATGTCATCATGTGCATCTCATTTGCATACGTGTTCGTCTCATGCATCCGAGCATTTTCCCCGTTGTCCGTTTCGCAATCCGACACTCCCACATGCACCGGCGCACCCCTCTTGTCTCTTTTTCGTGTGCGGGTGTTAAACGTTCTCGAAATGGACCGAGCCTTGCCAAGTGGCCCTGGTATAGCACCGGTAGACCGCCTGTCAAGTTTCGGGTCATTTGGAGCTCGTTTGGTACTCCAACGGTTAACCGCACAACCGCAAAGGCCTCTTTTGAGTTGCAGCCCAACAACCCTCCAAAACAGCCCAATAACCCATCTAAGTCACTTCCATGCTCTCCGTCGTTGGATCACGATCGTGTGGGCGAAAACTACACCTCATTTGGACACTCCTAGCTCCTTTTACCTATAAAAACACCTTCCCCGAAAATTCCGGATCAAAACCCTAGTCCCGCTCCTCTCCCCGCAGCCGGACACGTCCGGACGGAGCCGGACGCGTCCGCCCGCCGCCGCCCAGCGAATCGGGAGCCTCCACGTGGCCCGCTCCGCCGCCCCCGCGCCGCCGGCCCGCCTGGCCCGTTCCCGGCCCCCGCGCCCGCCACCG